ACTAAGGATAAAAAGGTAAAAAAAGAAAAAAACTCTAATAAACTCTAATAACTTAGGTTGCTATAACTCCAACAGGAACAAAGGTAACTAAAGGTGAATCGTGCCAATAGTTGATCATCAGACTTTAAATGAGGAGTAATAATTGCCTTTCGCATTAAGAGATCCCAAATAAAATGACAATCAATTTCAATATATTTGGTATGCTCATGAAGCATTGGATTGTTGACAATAAAAAATGGCCGCCTAGTTACAATGCATCCACTTGGGAGATGACACATCAATACCCACCTCACAAAGTAGAAAGTGGACCTATATCTCACGTGTAGTATGAGTCATGACACGATATTCACTCTTTGCACTAAAATGTGCCATCACATTTTGTTTCTTGTTGTACCAAGTGATAAGATTACCACTTATAAATCTGCAATAATTAGAAGTAGATCATCTATTAGCACGACTACTAGCCCAATCAACATTAGAATATCTTGTAACAGTTAAGTAGGACAATGACTGATCGAACAATCTTCTACGCAATGCTCTTTTCAAATATAGAACAATGCGATATGATAGACAGATTCCCAATGATGTTTATTAGGAGTATGTATAAACTGACCAACAACACCAACGACTTAAGTTTTGTTTGGACGTGTAACTGTGAGATAAATAAGGTTTACCGGTAAACCCCCACTAATGTCCTAATTTAACCGTTGGATCCATTGGGTTATCAATTGGGTGCACCAAGTGTACCTATTTTAAAGAGTAAATCTAATACATACTTTTGTTAGCACAAACTAATATCTTCCGTCTATGGGGCTACTTTAATGCCAAAAAAGTATTAAAAAGGCCCAAGTCTTTGGTGTGGAACTGTCTTCCCAAATAGGTTTAAATATGGACAATACCAACTTAGTCATTGCCATTGATAATAATACCATTGACATAAATAGTTAGAACAATGCGTATAAACACAGAATGGTCTGAATTAGAGCATAAAAGCCATACTGAAGTACAACTGAATTAAATTTATGAAACCAAGCATGCAATAATTGCTTCCGGCCATACAATGTTTTCTTCAACTGACATACTAATTGTTCCTTCCTAGAAACAACATATCCCAGTGGCTGAACCCTATATGATTTCTCTTGTAGATCCCCATGTAAAAAAAACATTTTTCACACCTAGCTGATACAAAGGTTAATCTAAACTCACTATAACAGAAAGTAAAACTCTAACAAAGTTAATATGAGCAATAGGAGAAATGGTCTCACAATAATCTACACTACACCATATATCTAAGTGCAACTCTTGGCAACCAATCACTCCTTTAAGCGCTCAACAAAACTATTAGGAAGATACTTCATAGTATATACCCTCCGACAACTAATAGGCTGCCTAGTAGGAGGTAACAAAATGAGGTCCCATGTTTGATTCTCATGAAGAGCTTTCAATTCTTCATCCATAGCTAATTTTCATCTAAGAGATGATAAGGCTTGTTTGAAAGAGCTAGGAACAAACACATAAGATAATGATGATGCAAAACAACGAAAAGATAGGAAAAATCGATGAAATGAGATAAAATTAGAAATAAGATATTGTGTACAGCCACGAGTACCTTTCCGTAATGCAATGGGTAAACTAAAAGATGATGGAGTAACACATGGCTCAAAAAGCTAGACCTTAGTAGAATTCGGTGTTTGCTGTGGAGCTAGAGCATAAGACAAAACTTGTCTATTCTTAGAGCGTAAACTAGTTGTGGAGGAGCAAACATTGGTGGAAGAAAAGACACAAAGTTTAGAATAGTAAGCAACAAAAGCTCCCCCTTACTAGGAGATATCAAATCTATAACAAGGTGATGGCCCGACATAGAAAAGAAAGGAAAATAACATCGGGGCACTGTCATGGAAGTGATGAGAGACGGGATCATAGTGTCGATAGTCTTTTTGAGTACAGGAATATCTTAGAATGATAAACTTGTCTGTGTAACGTGCATTTTATTACAACCAGAACCAAGCAGATGGACAAAGACAATACAAGCAAAGACACGAGGAGTTCAACTGAATGACGGTGTATTAGGGTCAAGGATCAAAATATTGTTTTGAAATAGTCGAAACATTCAAAACGTTTTCGTTTCTAAGGAGATTGAAACGAATCAGTGATGTAATCAAAATTCTAATACTTCAAGGTGTTATATAATGTTTCGAAAAGTTGTTATGTTTCAATGCATTTGCACAATTATTTCAGAATATTTCAAGGTATTTCAAGATATTTTGGTATATTTTTATCGATATTTTGAAAAAATAATTCTTAAATTTTTTATTTTTATTTCATTTTATTTTCGAAACGGGTAGAAACACTTCCGAAATATGTCGAAACGTTTTCATTTCTTAGGTGATCGATACAATGCATCGAAATGAAATATTGATCCTTGATTAGGGTATCGTAAGGAGAAATGATACTTTCTCAAATTAGGGAAGGCATGTAGTTAATAAGATATACTAAAATAAGAACAATATCAACTCTATATGGTTTTGACATATACATGTTAAATATCAAGGTGTGGGCAACATCCAACAAATGATGATGTTTACATTCGACAATGTCATCTTGTTGAGAGGTATGTGGATTGGTAGTTTGATGGATGCATAAAGCTACGGTCAACACAAAAAGTTTTCATAAATGATTGAATATATACTCAAGGGCATTGTCAGACCGAAGAACTTTAATACATATATCAAATTGAACCAAAATTTTATTATAAAAAGTGATAAAGATTTTAGGCAATTCAGATCGATCTTTCATGAAGAATAACCAAGTTTTATGAAAAAATTTATCAACAAAGATTATAAAATACTGAAAATCAGAAATACATTTGGCTCTTGCAAATGTCTGAATGGGCAATATTTAAAGGACTAGGCTTAATTTGAAGAACTCTGAGGAAAATGGCATGTGTGTTACTAATAGCCTATCACCTATTTATATTTGATTGATATCAAAGACAGTAACAATATTAGGAAAGTGGAATATAGTAGGAAAACGACATAGTAGAAAAGTAAAATAGGAAAATAAGTCTTTAACAAATCCAAATAAGTGAACTTGGTTCAACCCCAAGCACCTAACTCACAACGCAGTTGTCAAAACAATGCTAGGCTTTACATAGTCCATTAAGGACCCAAACAAGCTATGCTTTTGTCATATTGAAGTTTTCCAAAACAAAACACATATATTAACACAAAGATGACTTCCCCTGTCTCTTCTTTGCAACTATTAGGCTCCATTATTGGTTATACAATTATCAGGATCTGTACAAGAAGCTTTTTGCACATTGCCAGACTTTGTGGGATCACCTTGGGTCAGTGATAATGTCACTGACCAAACACCTAAGGGGCACATCTTTACACCTAGGCACTACCACCATTCAGTATACTGCTTTATGTGAGGCTTTTGAGTTCTTCTGCTTTTCTGTTGTTTTCATAGTTGATCAACTGTATTTTACTTATCAAAGTAAATAAGCAAGTAAATTGCTAATAAAATTGATGAATTGTCGAGGATGTAGAACCATTGGCTTTGTAACTTAGGAGATTTCATACCAGTTAGTGGGGTTACCTTGCAGACCAAGCTGAGTATTGGGCTGTTTTAGCTTGGCGATCCTTGTTTTCAACAAGGTTGTAGTTCGACTCTGATTTGGCTTGTCCTGTCAAAGCAGCTTTTGACCTTCTAGTCCTCTTTGGCTTTGCCTGATACTGTTGTTAATCGTGTAAAGAAATAGTAGTAGGAAAAATTCTTTAATGTCATGCAGAAATTGAGATTGAAATTAGTTTTTATTGTTTTTCAACTAGGCTAAGGATATACATTAGCAAGGAAAACCTGAGCCTCTTCCTTCACTAGACTTCAACTCAAAACCAATTAGAAATAAGTGAAAAGGCCTAGACAACTCACATACTTGGTGGGAGGTCTTGCACTACTGATGTTGGGGGACAAGCTCTAAGTTGTTTCACATGTGATCCTGACATGTGCGTAGAGATTCCAACATGCAAGTAGTGCGGACCATCGATATTTTAACTCATAACATTACACTTACACCACACAAGTAAACAGGTGGACAAACGAATTGAAACTAAAATTTGATACTATGTTATAATATCTTACTTAAAATTGATAAATGATGGAGAAGTTCACAAGGCTCGTAAACAATTTAAGGGATTGCACATTTCCAATGTGGGACTAGTTCCAACCCACCCTATGTGCGACACTAATTCTGACATAGATAAGCGCACACAAACCAAACATATCATCATATTTAACTGATCATACCAAAATAACATACACAAATCCTTGACTGAACATGAAATTAAACGATCAGGGCTTTATCCATAGGCCTCCCAAAGCTTGGTTATATACTATGCTAGAGTATACAATTCAAAACCAACTGGTAATGGGTGGATATGCCCATATGGTTCAAAATTCAAATACTAGCTTGGAGACCTTACTCAGGTAATATAGGGCATGCTCTAACACGCCTATTAGCATTTTCTTTCCTTTTTTTTAGTTTATTTTTCTAGAAAGAGAGAAGGTAATGGTGATAGATGCACGAACTAACATCGGTAAATCGTTTTAAATATGAGGTGTAATTTTACAGGAGTAAAGAAACCAGAGACTAGCTCATTTAACAAAGGGAGTTGGATATCGCACATGAGCTTTCCATGAGCTGCTTGGCTTGTTTACTAGCGTAAATAATTACACGATATACAAATTTGTTGTGGTACAAAACTCCTTATGCCCACTTCTAAGCCCATGTGCATGTTTAGCTATATTTTGGACATGATTATATTGGGATCAATTCTTCTTATCCTTGTTGCTCTTTTTTATGTGACGTACAGTCACAATGTAAACTCAAGTAATTATACTTCCCATGAGCTGCTTGGCTCTGTGAACTTTTACCTTTTCCAGTGCTTTTACAAAGATTCCACATAAGTAGTTTGATGCTGAGGTTTTGTGTCCTATACAGTCAATTGTATGTATTGGGAGAAACGATATCCACGATTGTTGAGTACCAAGCAGCTGCAAGATCTTATGTGTAGAGGATGTCCACTTATTGGAATTTCTGATATAACTTGTGACGTTGGAGGGTCAATAGAGTTTGTTAACCAAACTGCGTTAATTGATTCACCTTTCTTCAGGTAATATATTGATGATTCATGTTAAATAATGCCTATCTCCATTGATATCTTTTTTTAAGAATGTTTTTCCTTGAATAATGTTTTGTTGATGGCCTTCCATTGTATTCTGCATATCGCATTAACTCGAAACCCAAACTTGCAGATAATTGTCTATCAGGGACATTGTAAATGTTGCACCAATTTTGGTAGCCATTTAATGAGCTGAATCTGTCTGATTTTCTTAAATGCGAACTAGCCATCGTTGGTCCCACAAATGGGAAGGGTGGCTGGAGACCGATCTGTGTTTGGCTTGGCTTGGTTTTTTTGCTTGCTAAGCATTCATTTTGAGTTTTCTTTTTATTTTTTTATAACTTTCTGAATATTGCTTCTAGATATGATCCTTTCGATAATTCATATCATAATAACATGGAGGGTGATGGCGTGATATGTTCAGCTGTTGACATTCTCCCCACTGAATTTGCAAAAGAGGTAGGGAACTCATCCTCACACTTGATGTATTAAATGATTTCATTTTGCTGCATGCTATATATCTTTGATGTATTGACTTTGAAAATATCTACTTACCTTTCAATATTCATCTAACAAGCCATTTGGTTGTGGTAAAGGCATCCCAACATTTTGGAGATATTCTATCCCACTTTATCGGAAGCTTAGCTTCTCTGAAAGACACTGATGGATTACCTGCTCACTTAGAACGAGCCTGTATAGCTCATGACGGAGCACTTACTTCCTTGTATGCATATATTCCTCGAATGCGAAACTCTGATCTAGAGTAAGGCATACAATCTTTCTTTCCTGTCAGTTTTTGTTTAAATTATTGTATGGCTTTCTTTTCATATTATCATTTTCTCATTTTTTATGTTTCCAATTGCTGTAATGATTGTTTGAGTGTGTATTTGTTTATATTTTTGGGTTTGCATTGGCCTAATTTAGGGCCTACCCTAAGTTGCATTTGGAGATCTTTTATTGAGTTTACTATCTCAAGATGCTTGTGTTAATGACTGTAAATTGATATTTCTCTATTTGCAGAGATATATCAGAAAATCTTGCAAATTCCAACATTAATAAGAAGGAATACACTATTTTGGTATGTTAATTCACATGCGTGGTAAGGTTTTGATTCCCCTTATTAAACCAACTGTTAATGTAAATCATAATGACGGTGAACTTACTAATAGCAAATTATATTTGTTAAAGATTTTTCATTTTTATTGTTGTAGATGTTATTTTCCTCCTGTTTGATATTATTCATATCATTTGAAACTGCAGGTATCTCTAAGTGGTCATTTGTTTGATCAATTTCTGATAAATGAGGCGTTGGATATTATCGAAGCTTCAGGTGGCTCCTTTCACTTGGTTAAATGTCAAGTGGGTCAAAGTACAGATGCTATGTCTTACTCAGAACTTGAAGTATGCCAATCTCTTGCTATCTCTGATTTTTAAAGATGATGTAGTCTTCATGTGCACATGCACATATTCATAGCACAAAACGTTAAAAATAAAAAAACTTAGCAATAAACTATTCAAGTTAGAGCATAACACACACATAAGCTTCCATGTGCATATCTTTTTTTTTTTTTTTACTTCCATGTACATATCAGGAGTTGTTTTAATGTAACTTTATTTCTAAGAACTGCAAAAAATAGATGCATGACGCACTAAAGGTTCATGCTCTGTATGTGCATGTGTGGGGAAATTTACAAAGACTCACAGCATGCAGACTATGTGTAAGATAGGAAATTTTGGGGTAGGATAGTGTCCCTTAAATATGGTAGGAAAAACTCCAAAGGAAAAGAGAATTAAGAATCCAACTCCTTCAGGCTTTATACAAATTGTGCTCCTCAAAGGTTCTTCTATCTTTGTACACTTTGCATGCTTGTTTAATCCATTCGAGGAAGCTCTTCATTATTTCCAGCACACACAGTGAACTCACATACACACCCACACCCACCCAGCCACCCACCCACATACACAAACAGTTATGCTGATGTCCTTCATACATCCTTGGAGAAACTTTGTTCAGTAGGTGATTTCAAGTTGATTACAGTTATTTTGCAATATAAGCATAACTCAAAATAGAATAGCCAATTCAAATGTGAATTTGTGGCTCTGTTTTTGAAGTAACATATGTGAACATTGGGAGCATTTTGCTAGCATGTAAACCCACAACTTATTCTGGATAGTTCACTGGCTATCACCTATTACCTGCACCATTTCGTACTATAAAAGTTTTGATTATAATAGCGACAAAGTTAACTCCATGTTATTTCTTCAGATTCCACATTATAGTGTGTTACTACTAAATATGGAGCTCTCGTTTAAGATATCCAGAATTGTTTTGTAGATCAATTCTGTTTGTTTCAATAAATATATGCATCTGTGTATTTGTAGTGTCCCGCACACCCAAATCCCTTTGTTGGTTTCTTATTATTGATTGTTGTATTGTTTTGGCCAGGTTGGTGCAGATGATAGTGCAGTTTTGGATAAAATCATTAACTCTTTAACTTCCATTTCTACTTCAAGTGAAAATCTTGGATTTCTAGCCAGCGACACCAATATGATATCCCTGAAGCTCGGCAAAGTTCGTCAGGGTGGTATCGAGGAGGAGTATGACATGAAGAAGAAACATTTGGTTTTGATTTTAGGTGCAGGCCGGGTATGTCAACCGGCTGTTGAACTTTTGACATCAATTGGAAGCATTTCATCTCGACAATGGTTGAAATCATGTATCGAACCTGAATTTGAAGAGCAGAATTGTGTTGAAGTAATTGTTGCATCTCTTTACCTAAAGGATGCAGAAGAGGTACACTTATTATTGACTTTAGTGATATGAAGTTTCTGCTTGAGTTGCTATCTTTTGTCTGTTATCATTTGCTGTCAGAAGTTCAACTCTCATCATCTCATGCCCTTGGGCATAAAAGAATAAAACAAACCTCAGAGAACCATACTATACTAACATTTTCTCTTTTTCTGCATTCAAAAATCTTAATTTGATAATAGAGGATCTGCTGCAGATCATCAAAGGCATTCCAAATGCAGTAGCTGTTCAGCTGGATATAATGGATCATGGAAGTCTCTACAAGTACATTTCACAGGTTGCTTTTGCTCTTCATATTTCCAATACAGTAAAGTGTCATATATGAAGGTTTTATTTGATGCAAATAATACTTTCTATCAAATCAATAAATCAGATTACAAGAATATATATAGCTTGAGAAAACCAAAAAAAAAACCTAGACTACCCAAAAGGAAAATATACCTCAATTATAAAAATTTATGTACACTCTCACCATATAAAGATACAAGCAATAACCTGTGCCTGAATGCACTTGCAACATAAAAAATAGGCACTCAAAAAATCGAGCATTAGTTCATTCATACAATCCCAAACCTGCACGCAAACTTTATACTATTTCCGCTCCTTTATGAACTCCAAAGTTATTGACACACATTAAAAAACCCAGAATAAAATCAAGTCAATGAGAGATATGACTGAATTTACCTGATGCTTGCCCAAAGAGTCGTAAATAAACTAATAGCTAAAGAAAGCATGCTTAACCATGGTAAGGATTACGTAAGGGAAAAATATCAGACTAACACAATCATAAAGATCTAATCATGAAGTTGTCTATAAAGAGGTTTGGATCCCAGAGAGGAACAGTTGCACCTAATTGTGAAGAGTTACTCTATAACCTGATCATAGCATAATAATTTTTTTGCAAAATCAAGCAACATCTGTTTTCTTGAGAGTACATTAAAAATTGCATCCTGGAAATTTCATCCAAATAGAGAGTTGAAATTATCGAATTATCTATAGAAATCATAAAGTGGAAATTATAGAAATTACATCAATAAAAACTCATGCTTGATACAATATACTGGGAGAATTCTTCGACCCATCAAGGGAAAGAAATTTTCAATGAAACTGACTCTTCTGGAGTTTTTCATTCAGGGCCACACTGGTGTGACAACTAATCACTTGTTTCTCTTCTGTTATTCTCTTTCTTCTGGAAGCACACACATAGAAACTTCATCAAATTAAAACAAAGTGATTATCATGCAAGAAACGTCTTTGCTTTGCTTTGTACATAAAAGAACAACCTAGTTATCGGATGTAGATAGTACGAAACCTAATTTGATCTCAAATTTGTGGCATCAAAATCCATTTCAATTCACAACAAATATAACTATAAAAATCTGAAAAATTGTGATAGTGCAAAAAAAGAAATACCTCGTTCAGCTTTATATGCTTTCACTAATGCCCCCAAACTATCTATTCATTTTGTTAAGTGTGGAGAATTAACACAATATTAGAGAGAACAGAGAGAGGTTAAAACTTTTTAACCTAGCTCTCGTACATCACTTATATTTATAGTTAACCTACAATAATAAGAATTACATATACATTCTCTTACTATTAACAATTTACACATACTACCCTACTATTCTTAACACTCCCCCTCAAGCTGGACTATATATATCATATAATCCAAGCTTGGAACAAATAGTTGTAAGACGTGTACGACTCAATACTTTGGTAAACATATCTGTAAGCTGATCTTCAAATTTCACAAATAGAGTTGTAATCTCCCCAGCTACTATCTTGTCCCGAATAAAGTGACAATCAATCTCAATATGCTTGGTTCTCTCGTGAAACACAGGATTGACAACGATATGGATAGCTGCCTGGTTGTCACAGAACAACTGTAAAGGAAGTTGAACTGAAAACTCAATTTCTTGGAGGAAGTGTAGTAGCCAAGTCAACTCACTCGTCGTATGCGCCATTGCCCTATACTCGGCCTCAGCACTGGATCTTGCTACCACGGATTGTTTCTTTCTTTTCCATGAGACAACGTTACCTCCTAAGAAAGTATAATAACCAGTGGTTGATCTCTGATCAGAAGGAGAGTCAGCCCAATCAGCATCTGAGAAACCTTCCATTCTAAGATGTCCATTAACTCGATATAACAGTCTAAGTCCAGGAGCACGTTTGAGATATCGTAGAATACGAGTAATTGCATCCTAATGTGGTACTCTAGGACAGCCCATGAACTGACTTAATATACTGACTGCATAGGAAATATCTGGTCGGGTAATAGTGAGATAATTGAGCTTTCCAACCAATCTGTGATACTGACCTGGATTCTCAAATAGTATACCATCATCCATCAAAAGTTTCTGATTCGGATCCATAGGAACATCAATAGGTCTGCCACCTAGCATACCGGCTTTCTCAAGCATGTCAAGTACATATTTTCTCTGGAATAAACAAATACCCTGTTTAGATCAAGCCACCTCAATACCCAAGAAATACCTAAGTTTTTCCAAATCTTTAGTATAAAATCGATCCTGTAAGAATATTTTTAACTTGGCAATCCCCTCAGAATCATTTTCAGTAATCACAAAATCATCTAGATAGATTACCAATAAGACATATCTAGCATTTGTCTGTCTATGAAACACAGAATGGTTTGTCTGACATCGAAGAAGACCAAACTCTAAAACTGCATCTGAAAATTTACCAAACTATGCCTTTAATGACTGCTTCAAACCATACAAAGATTTCTTTAACCGCATACACTCCTACCATACTCCCCCTGAGCAGTAAACTCAGGTGGCTAATCCATATATACCTCTTCAACCAAGTCACCATGTAAGAAGACATTCTTGACATCTAACTGAAACAAGGGTCTATCAAGATTAGCAGTCAAAGAAATCAATATACGAACAAAGGAAATTTTGGCAACAGGAGAAAAAGTTTTCTTATAATCAAACACCATAAGTCTGAGTAAAGCCCTTTGCAACAAACCGGGCTTTGAGACGCTCCACAGAACCATCTGGATGAAATTTAACAGTATACACTCAACGACAACCAACAGTTCGTTTACCAGGAGGTAAAGGAATGAGATCCCAAGTCCCATTATGATGTAAGGCATCCATCTTCTCCTCCATAACTTTTCTCTAACCCGGATCAGATAATGCATCCTGTACATGCTTAGAAATAGATATAACAGATAATTGGGAAGTAAAACAAGAGAAGGCAGGAGATAAGGCATCATATGAAATAAAATAAGAAATGAGATGATTAGTAACACACAAACGAGTACCTTTGCAAAGAGCAATAGGTAAAGAGTCTAAATTACCTGATGTACCAGGATCAGAAGGTGGCAAGGAAGACGGTATAGGCACCTCAGTCGATGGGCGAGGACGGCGAGAGCAGACACAGAGAGGTAAAGTAGATGGTAACACAATGGGCAGCGGGATATCTGAAGATGAGGAAAGAGATGGTGATACAAGAGATGACCCAAAGTCCAGATCTAAAGGCTGAGAAGGTGCTAAAAAATATGGTATAGATTCTTCAAATGTGATATCGACACTAGTGAAGTATTGGTGCAGAGAAGGACTGTAGCAACGATATCCCTTCTACGTGCGGGAGTAACCAAGAAATACACATTTAGTAGTTCGAGGGTCAAGTTTGTCAAATTCAGGACCCAAATTATGAATATAACAAATACATCCAAAAATCTTAGGAGTCAGAAAAAATAAGGGCTTATTAGGAAAAAGGACAGAATACGGACTTTGTCCATTTAACACAGAGGATGATATACGATTAATAAGGTGACAAGCAGTACGAACAACAGTACTCCAAAAATATCGGAGAATATTCATCTGAAATAATAGGGTACGGGTGACTTCCAACAAATGACGGTTCTTGCGTTCAGTAACACCGTTCTGTGGAGATGTGTAAGCACAAGAAGTCTGATGAATAATGCCAACTTTATTAAGATAAGCTGAAAAAAGATCGGATTCATATTCCCGAGCATTATCAGAACGTAAAATATGGATACGACAACCATACTGAGTTTTTATTTCCTTACGAAAGGTCTCAAATATAGAGAATAATTATGACCGAGCTTTCATCAGAAACAACCAAGTCACACGAGAATAGTCATCCACAAATGATACAAAATAAGGATATTTATTAGATGAAATATTCTTTATTGGATCCCTTACATCAGAATGTACCAATTCAAATAGACTAGACACATGATTATTGACTCGAGACTGAAATGGCACACAATGATGCTTACTAAGTTGACACGCTTCACAAGACAAAGACGACATAGAACTAAGACTAGGAACTTGACGTTTCAGATTTTGGAGAGAAGGATGTCCAAGACGACAATGCCACTGAAAAGGAGACAACGAGATCTGTAGAGTTCGAGTAGGTGAATTAAAATCAAAGTAATATAGGCCACCAGTTTCATACCCCGTACCAATATTCCTCTTCGTCTTAAGATCCTGAAAGACACAATAAGAAGGATAAAAAATTACAGAACAATTGAGAGAACGAGTATTCTTGCTAATGGAAAGTAAACTAAAAAGAAACTGAAGAATAAATAATACGGAAGATAGGGATATATCAGGACTCAAGTTAGTAGTCGCCAAACCTGAAACTTTAGAACAAGTGCCATTAGCAAGAGTAACACTATGTGTAGAATGAACAGACTGATAAGTAGAAAAAATATCGGATGCACTAGTCATGTGATCAGAAGTGCCAGAGTCTATGATCCAGGGATTGCGATTGGAGGACAATAAACAAGTGGAAACAATACCTAACTGAGCAAAAATAGTAGTGGAGTAAGATGGAACAACCTGTTGTTGAGATAGGAACTGGGCATACTCCTTTCGAGTAATAGTAACTAATCCAGTGTCTTTCTTGGGTTCCATAACAGTGCAGCAAATAGCAAACAAGAAGTGTTGCAATGCCAAACCAGAAGAAAAAGAGGATGCTGGACCACTGAACCGGGCCTGTTAAGGCTGCTAGAATACTAAACCAGTCTGGAAAACTGGTCAGAACCACTGAACCGGGCCTATTAAGGCTGCGGGAGCCCTGAACCGGACTGGAAAACTGGCTTAGACTGTTGAATCGGGCCTGTTAAGGCTGCTGGAATACTGAACTAGTTTGGAAAACCGGCTTGAACCACTGAACTGGGTCTGTTAAGGCTGCGGGAGCCCTGAGCCAGATTGGAAAATCGGCTTGGACCACTGAACCGGCCTTGCTAAGGCCACTGGAAGCTTGAATCGGACTAGTTTAGTCCTCTTGATCACTGAACCGGCCTTGCTTATGCTATTGGAAGCTTGCACCGTACTGGTTTAGCCCTCTGGACCGCTAAATCGGAGTAAAACCGATCTGAACCGGACTGGTTTAGCCCTCTGGACCGCTGAACCGGAGTAAAATCGGTCTGAACCAGACGGGTTGGAGCTAAACTGGACTGGTTAGGGCTAAATCGGGTTGGACCGAAGTGGGTTGGACCCGATCGAATTGGGCTGGGCTAAACCAATTTAAATCTGTTGGAGCTAAACCGAGTCTGGACCCTTTCTTCGTCGAATAGGGTTACTGTAACCCTAGTCTTCGACTATGCCACCACAATCAACCACGATTGCTACACAAACCACCACAGACCACGCCTCCAACAACGATGAACCACCACAGACCACGCCTCCAACAACGATGAACCACCACAGCCACAAGACAATAGCCACCACAGACTACGCCGACGATGAATCACCACACAGCCACCATAGACCACGCGATCACAACAACCACCACAGACCACGCCTCACCACCAACGATGAACCACCACAACAGCCACCACAAACCACAGCCACACCACCACGATGAACAGTACAACACCACCACAATAGTAGCACAAACAGAGCACCACCACCACGCTTCGACAAACACAGGCACCACGATAGTACCACAAATAAATAAATTTATTCAGAATATATTTATGATCGTAATTGCTCTGATACTATGTTAAGTGTGGAGAATTAACACAATATTAGAAAGAACAGAAAGAAGTTAAAACTTTTTAAGCTAGCTCTCATACATCACTTATATATATAGTTAACCTATAATAATAAGAATTACATATACATCTTCTTACTATTATCAATTTACACATACTACCCTACTATTCTTAACACATTTTCTACACTACGTAGTATAAACATTGGAAATAAATCTATGCTATTGCATAAACACACACACATGATCGCAACCAAAAAGTGAAACTTATAAGCCGCGTAAAGCAAGCAAAAAATATAAAAATAATCACACATTCCACATTCCACATTCCACATTCCACATACCAAGAGGATAGTAGAAAACCAAATTTTAAGGGATAAAACCTCACATAGTAATTGGGGTTATAACAAGAAGAGAAATCCATTAATTATCCTAACGAACAAAAATTGGATTATGTTTCTTTATGTAGGTTAATCTCATTAATAACAAAGATTGTCCATTAGAAAACCTCACATAGCCAGAAGCAATTGGCTCAATAAGACACTTGTTTAACTGAGACATAACTTAAATTGGTTGGTCCCCAGTGTACATGGGTTAGACATACATCTCAATAAAAAAAGATATACAAATGACATAAATCAATCAAAAGAAGATACAAATGGTCCAAGAATCATGAGGGTACCGCAATAACCATATAAGTTGTGCCATTGCCATTGCTACCAATAACACTGGCACAAACCATAATGGTCAACTAATGATCAAGCACTGCAAAATTCTGCTCAAATCAGGTAGGGGAAAAAACTTAACAAAAGGTGAAGAATAGGAGACTCCACCTAATAACGGTGTCTAAACTAATGTTTATACTCGGCTTCCGTGAGACGTGGGGGTGAGTGATGATAAGAGAGATGAGATAGGGCAAAACTCTTTGGGAAATTTCGTCAAACACGTGGAGGTCGAGGTGGATATGGGGTTGTGGATTGTGGTTAGGGGTGGAGGCTAGTGCGAGAGAGCAAGAGGGAATGATAGTAGAAGAGGATGGAAGAGAGAAACACCTTAGTCGCTGAGGGAGAGAAGCGTTGTCAGTGGTGTTTTGTTAATGGGTAGAGGCGTGGCGAGAGAGAGACTTGACTGGTCATCGCTACTCGCTAGATCTGTGGTGGTAGAGTCTCGGATAGGGGTGGATATGGTTGGGTTGGGAGAGAGATAGGAAGAAAATGAGCAGAAATAGGGTGAGTGTGAGACAGAGAGAAGGAGAAAAACCTGGTGTGGTCCTGGCGGTGATGGTTTGGCGTCAAGATAGAGGCTGTCTATGGGGAGAAGAGATATGGGAAGCGAATGCGCGAGAGAGAAAAACAGAGAGATAGATGGGAGCAGAGTGTTGAGCTAGAAGAGAGATGGATAGAGAGTGATGAAATATGGAGAGAGAGGGGGACTGGAGAGTAGGCCAGATACAGGGGAGGGCGGAGAGAATTATGGCGTGACAGAGGGTAGTTTAGAGTGAATGCGCATGAAAGGGGGTTCTGGGTAAGGAAAGTTTTGGGCAGGACAAAAAAATTGATAGTGAATTTAAGCCGTTGGATTGAAATAGACTAAATTTTGAGACGATCTGGGATGCTAAAAGCCTTGGAATAAACTTATGTCTTGGGGGATTTGAATTACCTTGTCCCTTGCATAACATCAAAAAATTGTCCAACACAAATATATACTAATGCTTGTCAACATGACAAAAAGGTTCCAAGAGCCAAGTTATTCTTGTTCAAATTTCAACGCATGACTTCTTTCTGGAGTTAGGTGTTTGGGCTCTGGCAGTTCTGATCATTGCCTTATATTGTCAACGCCTATTCTTGTCTTTATGCAGGTTGAAGTTGTCATTAGTTTACTTCCTCCTAGTTGCCACAAAATCATAGCAAATGCATGCATTGAGGTAGGCACACTTCCTCTACATTGTTTAGCAGGATCGGTATTTTGGCATTTAATTGTTTTGTAGGATTATGCTGCAAACAAAGTGATCATGATAGCGGAACCTTAAAAACTTCAGATAGCAGACTTTTGATTTTGTTTAGAATTTCTACTTTAATGAACATGCAGTCTAGTGACCAGGGGGCCCCTGACTGTATGTGTGAGTTTTCCTTTTGATTTTGAATAACAGAATTTCATTAGATGTGGTCTGGGTGTGCCTCCATTTGAATCATTTCTGTCAACTAGCTCCTGTTGCTTACAAGTGAGACCTAGCTACTTCAGATCATTAAGTTTGGTCCCAATATCAAGGGATGTCATCGGTACTGTCTTACCAATCACGTTAATTGTAGACTGCCTCTCCAATCAATCAGCCTGAAACCACATGATCCTATGTATGCATCAATATTATGAATCCTTTAAACACCTATGCAAAAGCGGATAAATCAAATGTGGGGAAAATTTATTTATTCTTTGGAAATCACAACGTAGGAGATATCAACCCACTTGATATCTTTTTTGCAGGCCAATCTCTCTATTGTTACTTTTATGAAATCTACACTTTTCTCCTCTTTGACACTTGCCAAGTATCAACAGAGAGTAATGTTGAAGTTGTCAACTGTTTGAAGGTTTCTTGAGCAATTTCTCATGAACTTATACCTCATGGTTCTCTTCAACACCACAAAAGTAAGAAATGGGAACAAATAGTCATGCTATGGGTTGCTTTGCCTTGTACTTGGAATAACTGAACTTGGTGTGTCAACACTTCACCTTGTACTCCTACATGGTGGTGAGCCTAACGTTGACTTCAGATTTCTCTAATTAAGGTCCAAGGTAGCAATATGAGATATGCAGAATGGTTTGCCCCTGTATTCTCTATTTACCAAATGAGTTGTTAGCGTCTCCAAGGAATAGTTTAGACCTCGTTGGCTTAGGATTTTGCTCAAATTTCTATGTACTGCTCTAAAGTGGAGTAATGTGATTGATTCATGCACATGATAATGAAGAGCAACTATTATTTAAGATGCATCTTTATTTCTCTTACTCTATCAAATAATCTATTTTTAAGAATTTTGGCAAAGTGATACGCTTCCTTCATGAGATGATCACTTGAAAGTGTAGTCTTATTTCCTTACCGAGAATGACTGAGTATGAAGCATACCATTACATATGTAGCTCAAAAGAATATGGTAAATGGATCTACACCTATGTGGTATACATCTCGAAATAATGTTTTATGGTGTAAAGTACATTGTCTTTTAATGAGGCAAGATGGGAATATGGAGAACTTGAAGTACTTTTAGGTTACTAGTAGTGGTCCATGCTCATCTGCTATCAAAGTAACAAGAGTTTGTAAGGTAAAATAAATATCCAATCATCAAGTATTCAACTTTTTTGTTCTAACTAAGAGCATGCCATACGTTGTTTCTAAATGCAGCTTAAGAAACATCTTATCACTGCTAGTTATGTGGATGATTCCATGTCAGAGCTAGATGAAGAGGCAAAAAGTGCTGGTATTACAATTCTTGGTGAGATGGGCTTGGACCCTGGAATAGGTAAATCTATTTTCTCAAGACTTATCTCCTTTTTATTCCTTTAGGAACGTTGCTGCCTATGAATTACTTCCTGAAAAATATGAACTAATTTGAGGAAGGCAATTCTTCTTGAACATCGTAATTCGTTACCTTTGCATGGGAAGAAGGCAATTCTTCTTCTTGAACATCATTAATTCTTGAACATCTTACCACTGCTAGTTCCTTAATGAGTGTTTTTTGTCCATAAAGGATGGCTAGTCCCACAAGTTTCTTTATAAAATTGGCACTTCACTTTTATTTGTGTGATCTCGCTACACCCCTAGTGCACTCCTCTACTCCTTCATCCCACTTTACATCTATGGCGGTCATCCCTGTTAACCTCTTATTCCGTATGGATAACAAATTGTAAATAACGAACACTGTCGTTCTTTGTTGTCTTTTTGTCACCAACCTCAAGTGAGTTTCAGTTTGCTATAGCCTATATCTTTTTATAGGCTAGTCCTTCTGTTTACTTGGGTTCAAGTTTAACTGTTATATTGCAGAACTGTTTAAGCTTTGCTGTCATAACTGCTTTAAGATTTGTTAGAGCAATCAAATTTCTGAATGAGTAACACAGTTGACCACCATCAGAAATACTACAATTTCCAAGAAAGAACAAGGGTGTTTAGTATGTAGATGTCAAACAATTTTCCGAACAGGGTGTCTACACCGTATATGGTTTCCTTGTCATCACTGACAAAAGAGAGAAAAAAATCTCCCCAGTCTATGTCATTGTTTTGAGTATATGTGTTCATCTTCCATTATGGGAGTGGATACCAAAACCAAGAAGCTGGAAATGGAATCTCTGGGCAACTTTATTATGTATTCATATTTTATTTCTTGGGGCTGTGTAAGCATTGATTGATTAATGATACCCATTCTATAATTCAGATCATATGATGGCAATGAAGATAATCAACCAAGCACATGCCCAAAAGGGGAGGATCAAATCTTTTGTTTCGTATTGCGGGGGTCTCCCATCCCCAGCAGATGCAAATAACCCATTAGCTTACAAATTCAGGTATACCTTAAACATTAAGATCTTGAACCTTTGGGAACTCATGCAGTATGAAGTCGATATTAATAATAAGGGTAAAGCATGTTTCATACACACATGTAAACACATATATATACTATGGGGAAACAAAATCCTTACCTTGATCTCCTAAGTAAGATAATCCAATGAGGCTTTTATGCGTGGAGGACTGAATACATAATTGGAAGTTCAAATAACAATGCCTTTTATGTTACACATATCTGGGATGCTATGATAAAATTCGCGGTTTAAAGTGTTCTGACCTTTCTACCATCATGAAAAATGATGTACTTCTGGTATTAAGTCCGGTTAAGACAAGTAAGGATTCATTTATGATTAACATTCTATGAGCAGTGGACCCAATAAATGATTGTTTCCCCTTTTTTATTTACTGTTGATAATACCAAAGACACTTTCTCATAATTTCCTGCCGTCTAGAGAAAATGTAACCATATCATTGTGGTCATCTCTTCGGTTCTGAATGATTCTGAGTTCCTTGGTATGCATGTTCATCATGGTCGTCATATCCCTGTGGGGACAGAATAAATAATAAATGTATATTTTATGGGCCAGACATTGTGTTGTCTCGTAGGCAATAGAATTCTTATTCATTATATGCTGTGATATTGTAGTGTTTTCTGTTTACTATTAGCTTTAAATCCTAGAGCAGCATGAAGGCGGATACCGGATTAATACAAGATTGTTTCAGTTGGAATCCAGCAGGAGCTATACGGGCTGGGAGAAATCCGGCAACTTACAGATATCATGGAGAAACCATACATGTTAACGGTGAGTTGTGGGGTACATTTATGTGAGTGTCTAGTATAATTGTTTTCATCATCTTTATCATAAATGCCTTCGACATGTTCATTAGATTTTTTGCATTTATCTTTATCACTCAAGGATTGCACAGAATAGCAATAATGCACTAGCTATTGGCATAAATGGTACAGGTACCTCCTACCACCTCCAGTTGGATGGTGCAAGGTTCAAGTCCAAGTTACGGGCATTTTTCTCCTTAAAAACTGTAATACCTATTTTTTATTTTATTTTTTCACATTGATTGTGCTATCTTGCAGGGGACTGTCTATATAACTCAGCCTCAAGACTTCGGATACCTGATCTTCTTGCTTTTGCATTGGAGTGTCTTCCAAATCGCAACTCGTTAGTTTATGGGAACCTGTATGGAATAGGTCACGAAGCAACAACCATTTTTCGTGGGACCCTCCGTTATGAAGGCGTGATATTTTTCTGTGCTTTATGCTATTTTATCTTGAGTCTTAGGTGGAATAACCTAACCACTGAGTAGATTAACATTAGTGTCAAAAATAAGGTTGCTCCAAGAAGGTTTTCTGTTGGAGCTTTGAAAAACAGAAACAAGCAATCAAAGCAGAAAAACAATTTTGCGGAAAATAACAAATGTAAAGAGGGTTGGGTATAGAGTCTTAGTATTTTTTGGTGGAGTTCTTTTCCAATTATGTACATTTATATCGTTCAATGAAATGAAAATGCTGTTTCTTAACCAAAAAAATAATAAATTATCATCTTGGATTTTGAAGGGATGATGAAAGTTGTGCAATCATATATTTTGTGCAGGTTTTGGTGAGATAATGGGGACGTTGGCAAGAATAGGGTTCTTCAATACTGAACCTCTTCCGATTCTTAAAAATAAGAAAAGGCCCACATATCAAACATTCCTACTTGAACTTCTGCAAATTGAAAGCAAGAACGTGTGTGAATCCATGATGGGAGAAGTGAACATCACAGAAAGGATTGTTGCACTCGGACTTTGCAAAGAGAGAGGAACTGCAATGAAGACGGCCAAAACGATCAGGTATGTTAAAATGGAATTATGGATATTGCACTTACCGAGAAAAGACATTATGGGTAATTTTGCTGAAGATAAATTAATGCTGGAACTCAAGCCACGTATAATTTTTTCAAATCTCTTACTTTTTGCTGTAGATAATTTAGTGATGAAGTTGTTTGAATTCTTCTTTAAACTTGGATTAGATTTTTGGGATTTCATGAGCGGAGAGAAATACCTGTATCCTGCCAAACTGCATTTGATGTTACCTGCCTCCTCATGGAAGAAAGGTTAGCATACTCGGGAACAGAGCAGGTAAAGTTTCAAATTCGTGTGTTATCTGACAGCTGAAAACTACTTACATTTTCACTTAAGGCCTAATAAATCCATATAGAATATTTTGGATCAGTGTTATTTTCACTATTTTGCATCAGAAACTATTTCTTTCTTCTGATTTAATTGGGGGCAAAGAGAAAAGAATGAAGGGAAGAAAAATTGTTGTGATGACATTTTTTAAGGGTGTCAATATCCCCAGCTTTGTAGAGGCAAACTGTCATTTTTAGAAATTCAGTCCTACTTTGGGGAGAGAAATCATCTTATAATGCTGCAAGAGAAAATCATCCTGATTCTTCCGTTTCCTGAAAGCATTATATCAATGAAACTCAACTCAAATCAACTTAGCTAAAAAATTAAAATGTCATTTCGTTTTCACTAAAGCATTTAGCTTTTGGTGGAATCTCAAATGAAGCAATGGTGGGAAATCAAAATTGCTATGTTTCAGAATTTTAGGATGTTTTGGCTTAATGTTTTGGAATCAAAATAGCCAAAAAAAAAAAAAAATCTATTTTATTTTGTTTCCGAGACATTTTGAATTTTTTGTTTCCAAGCTAAGCAAAACTATGTGTCGAAACGGATTTTTGATCCTTGAACTCAACAAAGCCTTTTGCTGATTATTTGGGGTTGGCTATAAGTTGTTTTTCTATTGTGCTCACATTTTCTATTAAATCTTAAGATTTCGTAAAGTTAATTTCGGTCTATGTTTATCCTCCACATTACTGTTGGTAGATTAAATAATAGGTCTGTCATAAACATGTGCAAATCACTCAAGTCGATTCTCTCTTCATTTATCTGCTGTCATGCTCCTTCTACTGTTTCACGATCATATTCATTCTTAATTATGTTTTATCTAGTTTTATCATTCATCTATCTTCACATATGTACTTCAATCACATTTAGTTTCTGAGCATGCTTTTTATTTGCGCAACATTTTGTACCCTAAAAGTATTGCTTGTCTAATAGCTATTATGGATATTTCATATAGAGTGGACACCAAATCCCCCCTCACCATTTACTAAGAGTAATAGATATTAGGTATACGCAGCACAGTGCAGGTCAAAGTCTTAATATATCCTATCCAACTGATGTGATTTATGGTCAGGATATGGTGCTTTTACACCATGAAGTGGAAGTAGATTTCCTTGATGGCCGAGCTATGGAAAACCATCGTGCTACTTTACTTGAATTTGGGAGGACTGAGAATGGGAAAAAAACCACTGCCATGGCTCTTACTGTTGGGATTCCAGCAGCCATTGGAGCTCTGGTATCTACTTATTTCTTCTTCTTCTTCTTTTTTTTTTTTGGAATGATCTCTTGTACTCTTTTGACGTTCATTTTCCATTGTTGCAGCTCTTACTTGCAAACAAGATCAAAACACGTGGTGTCTTAAGGCCTATTGATCCAGAAGTTTATTTGCCAGGTAACGTGGAGCAGTTCTTTGGTTAATCTGGAATTTTTTTTGTTAGACAATAGTTGATTAAAATCCATGATTTTCAAATTCGACTACCACCATGCCAATGGTGTAAATGTGCATGGGACACAAACTCCAAGTTTGTCCATGTCCAAACATGGCTTTCCCCAAGGAACATATATAAGGCGATCCATAGCCTAGCAAGCGATGAAAATCTGGGGGGCTGACATTCCATGAAATAATCTAACCTTGTGAATCAATAACATACCATTCTATTTCTACCTACCATTCCTCAAATGTATGCATCCGCAAATTTTGCTGTTTGCGGGGAGTACCTTGAAACTTCATTCAGAACATAAATTTGCGCTCTTCATTATCTGGTTGTGGTTTGCAGCACTGGATATATTGAAGGCTTATGGTTTCAAGATGCTGGAGAAAATTGAGTAACTTGGAAGTGCATTCCTTTCTATTTATTGCTGTACAGATGCAGGTGTCATGATATGCTTTGTAATGTCATATACTCGACAAGTAATTGATGGTTTTTATTAATTGTAATAAAGTTGTTGTTACGAGTGGGATTGGAGAGACAATTGCAAATCATAAAGACTCTGGAAAACAGGACTAATGTCATCACCACTGGTCAAGTCTCTTGTGACTCTGTATGCTAAAGCCGATGATACCAAAAAAAAAACATGCATGGATGCATGGGGACGAAGTTATGTTAAGCCAAATAAGATATTCCCACTAGCTTTGCTACACAAACCAAGGCATACGGGCTAGAGTCCACCTTTTACATCCACGAATTATCATGCAATGCAATTGACAAATATCAAACACATGGTTTGTATATATCTACTGTTGCCAATGGCATCTGAAAGCTGTCTCATTGGTTATGGAGACATCACAATCACAACAATGTATTCCTTCATTTCTACATTCCTGTTTGCAATATTGTAGTCCAAAACCCTATCCAGCTGGTCTATTTCAGCACTGTGGGCGGAGAATGAGAAAATTAGTTCAGGATACCATATAAATTCGTGGTATCACCTATATCTACCCTACTGGATGGAATACTCATGAAACGATCCATGAAACTAATTGGTGCTCCACCTCTTCCCAATCATGAACCTTAGTGACCAGGGGGTGTAGATTAATAGACTCTGCCTTGCACCAAGGATACGAATTCTCGTAATCGAAAAGTAGAACCCTTATTCCAATTTCAGCACACTCAAGGGCGTATCTTGGGTTATCATCTATCAGAACTTTTGCTCCCAAGATCCTGCCAGACACACAGTAGCATAACAAACCTCATCAAATGATAGGTATGGAATAATTATGTCTAGAGTTAACAACAGACTAGGTGCATCAACATCCTTATTCAATCACGCGGAGAGCAGACTCAAAAAAGCTGTGCACTTAAACAACCTACCTAGCTTCAGGTGTGCTTTTCTTACGAATTAGCAGTTCATAGGCATAATACCTGCAAATGTCTGATTTAGGTCTAGACTGTCCATCTAAAGCAAAGTGATTGCCAAAGTGAATCTCCTGAAAGAGTCCGGGATAATGCTTCTCAATCCACTCAATTGTGTGATCCTTGATTGCATTCTGCCGTGACCTATAGATGAATAGATTCAAATTGATCAAAAATCCATTGCTTGGGTTTAATAATATTTAAGCCAAAAACCTGTGTGACTGAGAATACATACGTCACTACGGACAAACTACAATATTTTGATAAGTTTTGAAGAGCCTGCTGAGCACCTGGAATTGGATGGATTCCCATCCTAAAATAAGATGTCTTAAAAAACTCATGAACACGGATGTCAGCTGTCACAATAAGAACAATATCATTATCATTCAACCAGTTATCAGACCCTGAGATGATATACATTGTGGCCTAATGATAGCTAAAGCAGAGCAGATGATGTAGTAACGGAGAGATATATTAACCTGCATATCATGACATCCATTGTTATACTTGAATTATGAAGTTTTTCAGATTCCCAAAGAGCAATTACAAGACAAGTTATTACAATACCAAATAATTTTTTATCACAATAAGACAAGTTATTCCCTGTAACATCCTTTTATTTAATGCAAACTTCATGGGTAATTGAATAGATTCTTTATTATCATATCCTGCAATGGAGATTCGGTAAAACTGTACTGGGTCTCAACTCAGGTATAGCCTCTAAACAGAAATCACAAGTAATCATCTTGACATTCTTCTTGAATAAACAGCATAGTAGAAACAGAAATATGTAATCAAAATAGTCAAAAGAAACAACAGTCATGTTAATATTTAAAGTTTCAAATATTCCGAGAGGTCGTCCAAATTTGGTAAGGTGAAAATGATTTGTTCATTAAGAGCGGATATGAATTTAGCTGTGACAAAATTCACACAAAGCAAACGAGAAATCTGGTAATACCTTCACCACGGGAACAGTTCCATATCTGTCGCAGAAATAAAAAGGTAATCAGACTACATACAATTAATGTGTTTCTGCTCAGTAATATAGGCAATTTGTTACACAGTTCAATTCATCATCCCGCCAACAGAAATAGCACCCTAATCTACAGTCAAAAAGATAGAGAACGCTCAAGAATCAATGTGTGCATGATTAGAATTTCACCATTGCAAAAGTCTTGAAGTTTAAAATATCTCAGAGAGCACGATAAGACACTCCAAGAAAGCATGCACCTCCCTAGCTGGATATAGGTTGTCATAAGTCTTCAAGCTCAGGCCATTGTAGATTTCAGTTGAGCCAAAGTGTTTTATTTGGCAGCATACAATAAAATTATATTTGATAAGACGCACACAAGCAAATGAAGATATGACTTGTAAAGATAAAGAATGTTAAACATTAAGGGGGATACTCATATGCTCATGACAATAAAACCTGAAACTGTAAGAAGTAGCATGCCTGAGGCACCCACATGCATAGGATAGCTGCCTTACATATGCCACCTATGATGATTGAAAATACTAGCCTAGGAACAACACCTATGATGATGAACACAAAATTCTTCACCTTTTCTACTTTAGAAATGTGCAATAAAGAAGTGTGTTAGCCAGTTTACCAGCTTTTTGAGTAACATTATACAAATTAGTTTACCCACCACTTATGATTCTTTGACACACAAACGAGCTAAAGCACAATATATTAAATAAAAAGATATTTTTTCAATAATAACATATATGTGTCAACCCCCCACCCCTAACAAAGATACGTGCATATATGTTATTATTTAAAAATGGAGAGGGAGACAGTCCAACACTGCCATTGGAGCCCAAAAGGTTATACATACCGTAACATTACTCTCTTCGCCAAAGGTTTCATGAGTTTCCACATAGGACACACTAATGCATTTCACATTGCATGACCACAGATGATAGGAAGTCCAGATATAAAACAAATCTAATTCGATATTGGGCCATAATTTTTAGTCTGGCAGCTCCTGCTGTTAGTTAGGTCGTATGTGCTTGGCCGCTAGGCCTCAGGCCAGCTATCACCAAAGACTTGGCACTTGCAAAAAGATCAAATAATAAAATCTTTCCTCATATTGGTCAATCTGAGATCTGTATTTTATTTTGACCGTAACATGCTGTTTTTTTTTTTTTTTTTAAAATGTGGCCAAATAAATACATACACTGATAGGCACACATAAGACGCATGGACATGGACACAGACACATCATGCAGCTGGCAGATAATGAAACCAACTCTATCCATAGTGGTCTTGGGGTAGAGCTTAACAACCAATACATTATGTTTTTTTCTGTTGGGAAAAATATTCCACTGATAAAAGGGAAAAACAGAAACACAAACCAACTATAATGCTGTATATTTTTCTCTGTTGGGCTTCGGTGTCGAAGGACTTTAGAAGAATCCTGCTTTTAGCTATCATATCGGATTGGAGTGCTTCATGCGATTTATAGGGTTTTTCTGTACTTTTTATTGGTTGGATTCCTTATCCAACTGTAGTGATCATGATTTTAAAATTTGTTTAATACAAGAAGTCATGTTTCCTATTAAAAAATAAAATAAAATCTGCTAGTTCATAATACCACAAGAAACTATTGAAGGAGAGAAAATAATACCTTGAAAAACTCATAGACATGATATTCAGAGAGTGAGTGATTCAACAAGTACCGATCGGCCATGAATTTATTCAGAGCTGACAGAAAGCTTCCTAGAACTGCATGCCAAAGAATAGAAAAAAGAAATATGCATGAGCAGGACAGTAACAGCTTTCTGCCTTGGATAGATAGGATGCAAGTATTCTCAAGTAATTGATAATGATCATTATATGACTGACTAATTTGACTGTTATTTCACAATCCAAAACAATGAAGTAACACGCGATTGGCAATCTGAGCAGAATATTAAAACTGAACATAGGCCATTTTGTGACGAAAACAGAATCCTAAATGTGGGTGCTTGTGCTTCTGATGTCAAACCACGAAACAGAAGAACTTTCCAATAAAGGGGGCAAATGTCAAAAACAGACTTTGCAAACTATTTGACCAGCCCAAAAAATGACTTTGATCCTTTTGCGGACATATTTAGTGGTGAGTCAATGGGTGGGGATGGGAATATAGAACATCATCAATCATATTAACCATAAGAGAAAGGCTATATCGACAATTCTTTTTTCGTTTCTACAGAAAGAGAAATAAGTACCCTCGTCGACATCAACAGCGACAACGATTTTGTCGAGCAGAGGATGGTCAGAGGGGAATCCAAGGGAGCTTCCCCTGTAGTATGCGCCACCATAAGGAGAAGGAGGAGGAGCACCACCACTAACACCATTGAACGATCTAGTATCGCGGTTATCTTCAAGCCCGATCTCCGAATCACGAAGTAAGTGAGACAGGCACGGAGTAGACGCCCGAGCCCTCCGCAGCGCACTGTTACCATTAATGTTGTTGTCAGGCCTTTCAAGACTGTCAAACGAACAAGCCTTCAGGCCCCAATTCATGCATCTTCCGACATTGGTAATTGAATCAGTCGATGACAAGGACGAAAGGTTTCCTGGATGAGATGGGTAAGTTGCATGAGGGTTAGAGGCAGGCTGAGCCTTGTAAATTGGCAATAGGAGGAACGGATCATTGTATTTGTTGCCAACGAGCAAAGAGAACGCGGCGGCCATTAAACCACTGCCACAACCACCCCTAAAACAAAAGCGGTGTTGGTGTCGGTGATGGTACGGTAATAATAATATTAGGGTCGATGACAATCGGAAGCTTTGCCTCTTTATCATTACCATAACGAGAAAAATCTCTCACACATCTACTTCCTTTCCAGAATTTCAAAAAAAAAAAAAGAAGTAATATATCTTTATGCCCTAAATTTCCAATTTGAAGAAAAAAAGTAAAAGGAAACCCACAATTAATGATCTGTGTATATGCATAGGATAGGAATGCCTCCACAACCTCCCTCTTCAACAAATTCAAAGAACGAACGCGAAATAGAGTGTAACAAATTGAAATGTATGCAAAAGAATGCCAGCTGTGTTTCCTCAATATTTCATCAAATGGAGTAAAATTACATCATTGGTCCCTAGTTTATCCCTTGGAAAACTTTGATCCCTAAAATTCTAATTTCATCGATTTAACCCTCAAACTCCACGCATTTATCACTTGCATTTCATGTGGCTTCCTTTTATTATGGCTTTTATGTGAGTATGTGGCTTTACATGCAAATGACTGTTTTTTGATTCATTGAACATTTGAGTGGTTGTTTCTTGTAATTGATTTTTTTGAAAAAAAAAATGTGGCTTTATATGCTTTATTGTGGCTTTAGTTTTTTTTTTTTTGTTTATGTCATCTCCTTATAGGGATTGAAGTATGGAATTTATGATATGTTTCCAAGAAATCTACACAACAATGTCAAAGCAATGTACAAGGATAAAAGACTTAGTTTGGCCTTGTGCAAGATCAACTTATGTCAACTTGTTTACAGAGAACATGCAAAAATGAGAAAATAAAGATGCTAAGGCAGTTGCATAGTTTGATGCAGTGTTTTAAAATCTAGCCTGACCCAATGGGTTAATTTGGTGAACCGACTATTAAACCAAACCAAGTAATGTATTATATCGTTTGCGTAGAAAATCCAGTCAAAACCCGCTAAATCGGGCGGTTCTTGTCAGACCCGTTGAACTGGACGATTTGTAATAAACTCGACAAGTCAATTAAAAAAGTATAAAAATCAAGTTTTTGGCCCTTTTGACATTTTTGCTCTAAACATAATTGGTCTTTGTGTTGTGCCACTCTCCCCCTCTCTAGTGTCCATGATGATTCTTAGGCCCCCCTCTCTCTATCTCTCCATCGAACAAATCAACCTCTCTTTCTCTTAGTCGAACTCGAACAAAGCATCCACTTTCTTAATCAAACGAATTAGCCTCTCTAAATCGAAGTGTCAAACGATTCAACCACCCTTTCTCTCTCTCTCTTAGTCAAACTATTCGTTCCTTTGAATTCGATGACGAGTATTATCATCTGATTGGTTGTGCTCATTTTCCTCCATAAAATATCCCTTAAGGGATTGGGACGTTGATGTTCTCCTCGCGGGAGATCGTTCTGGGTTGGTTGTGCCTTCTGGGGATGTTGGGTGTGGATAAGGTTTTTTTTTTGGTACATTGGAAAATAAATTCAAACATTAAACAGAATTCCTAGCAAAGACCACACTTGCCATATCTTTTAACAAAAGATTAGCCAACTGGGGAGAGGGATCCTCCAGATTAACAAAAGGATCTAATTGTTGGACGCCAATATTGGCCAACAGATCAGCACACTGATTGCCTTCCCTAAGGGTGTGGATTATGGGAATGTGGTTACTCTCCATAAGCCTTCTACATTGTGTGATGACCTTCCTATTGGGGTGCGTGGCCTTCAAGTCCTTGGCCAGCAACTTAGTAGCTTCGAGAGAGTCTGTTTCCACAGTGGTTTGGGTGATGCTTCTCTTTTGCACGAGCTCTAGGCCTTTGAGAATTGCCCATAATTCTGCCTACAAGCTTGTGATCTCCATCATTTTCCCAAAGAAGCTAGCAATCCATCTGCCTTGATCGTTTCTGATAACTCCACCAACACCTGTAGGTCTAGGATTTCCTTTTGAGCATCCATTTGTGTTCAGTTTGTACCAGCCTACATGGGGGAAAGACCAAGTAATTAGACTGGGAGAACAAATAGTAGGCTCATTTTGAACTTTCAAAAATGCCTTGATAGTGTCTAAGGCTAAAAGCCACATTTCCCTAGGCATGAGTCTAGCAAGTGTTTTAACACCTGCAATGCACTCCCTAATCTTATCCTTCCATATGCATCATGAGACACAAGCACACATGATGGGTCAGTTAATACCTTTCCAGTCCTTGTTCTTCCTTAGCTTAAAATTCAACAGGATCCAATTCTGTAGTCCCCTAAGTTGATTGGAATCCTCTCCTTGGGACAAGTTAAAAAAATCCCACACTTTTTGGGCTTTTAGGCACTCAAAAATCACATGTAAGGATGTTTCAACTGGGTGGTGACATCTAACACAAGAGGAATCACTAGCCATATTTCTTATTGCTCCAAGGTTATTAGTGAGAAGTCTGTCATGTTGTACCAACCACAAGAACTGGTTAATTTTTTGTGGGAGATTCAACTCCTAGATCCAATTCCAGTGCAGAGAATAGGGTCCACCCAAACTAGCTTGGGAAATAAGATCAAATGCAGCCTTAGCAGAGAAGTTACCATTACTTGAGAGACCCCAACAGATCGTATCCTGAAACTCAGCAAATAGTGGACATGGAGATTGTAAAATTTCTAGAATAATAGATTGAGGAAAAAACATACCTACCTCCTGAAGGTTTTAGTTGCATTAGAGTCCATGAACTCAGCTACCTTTTTGTTGAGATTAAGAAGCTCAGGATGAGTAATAAGCTGCACAAGAGGGCTTTTCTCCCACCACCAGTCAGTCCAGAAATTAACATGTTTTCCATCCCCAATGAACCATTTTGAGCCCAAGTCAACAATTTTTTTAGTCTTACCAATTGCTTTCCAAGTTGGTGAGCAAGCAGTTTTGAAATTCTAGTTAAGGGTATCCTAATCAACATATTTACTGCTAACTACATCAACCCAGAGAGCTTTATCACTATTTTTCACTTTCCAACCCAGTTTAGTTAGCAGAGCTAAGTTATTCTCCCTACTTTTTCTCACACCTAACCCCCCATCCTTCCTGTGAGAGCACACCCTATTCCAAATAACAAGATGGACTCTCTTTTTGTCAGGTGTGGCACCCTGCAAAAAATTCCTATTGAGTTTATCAATCTGGTCACAAGTAGCTTGAGGCAGCTAGTTAGTTAGCATCACATTGTTCAAAATTGTTGAAGTGACTGCCTTAACGAGGGTGGTTCTACCAGCTAAGGAAAGGGACTTGGCTTTCCACCCACTGAGTTTATTTTAAATTTTCTCAACAATAAATTTGAAGTGCTCTTTAGAAGGTCTTTTGTGCAAAATAGGGACACCTAGATATTTACCTAGGTCATCAATGAGGGAAATACCAGATTTCTTGCTAAGGAAAATAGCATGGATTTTACTTAAATTAGAAGAGAAAAAAAACCTTAGACTTATTCGAACTGATCTTTTGGCCAAACAACAAACAGAAATCTTCTAGCACATGTTTAATCATAAGACAGTCTTTTTCAGTGGCTCTTGAAAACAAGATAATATCATCAGCAAAAAATAAGTGCGTAATGTGAGGTCCCTTTCTTGAAGCTTTCACTCCACACCATTTGCCTTCGTGAACTTTCTCAAGGATTAATTGACCTAGTCGTTCCATACACAACACAAAGAGATAAGGGGATAGGGGATCCCCTTGTCTCAAGCCTCTTTTGGATTTAATCGAATTCAGGGGGGATCCATTCCAAAGAATGGAAAGAGAGGATCCTGTAACACAGCTCATTATGATGTCAATCCAAGATTTAGGGAAATTGAAGTCAAGAAAAGTATTATAAAGGAAATTCCAGTTAACTCTGTCGTAGGCTTTCTCTAAGTCAATTTTGATAACCATTCCCCCACACTTACCTTTTTTCCTCTTTAAAAAATGAATGATTTCTTGAGTAATAATAACATTATCAACATTCTGCCTTCCTGGGATGAAACTACATTGGTTCGGGCTGATTAATTTATCCAAGAAGAGTCTGATTCTACTCACCAACAGTTTAGTCAGAATCTTGTAAGGAACATTACACAGACTAATAAGTATGAATTGGGTAACCTGTGTGGGATTGTCAATTTTAGGTATAAGAGTTACCCAGGTCTTGTTTAGCTTGCTTGGGCAATCTCTATTCACAATCATATCCTTGATAAGATTAAAACATAATCGCCAACAATGTCCTAGTAATTTTGAAAAAACAGGGTTTGGAGTCCATCCAGACCTGGAGCTTTCATAGGTTTCATACTAAAAATACCCTTCTTAATTTCATTATTTAACACTGGAGCTTCAAGGGCTTCCTTAGCCTCATTGCTCAAATTTCTTTGGAACCTGAAAGTCCTCTAGGGGTAAGGGCAAGTGGTTTCAATCCCAAACAGTTTATAGAAAAAATCTTGGACAGTTTTAGCTATCTCCTCCCTATTAGTTACCCAGATCCCTTCCGAGTTTTTGAGTGTCTGTGGTCTACCTTTTTTCCTTCTAGTAATGGTGGAAACATGAAAAAAGTTGATGTTTCTATCCCCACATGTAATCCATTTTGACCTTGATTTTTGATACCATAAAACCTCTTCTTGTTCTAGAATTTGGTTATAGTCATGTTGGAGATTCTCCTCTAATCTAGTCAAGTATTGGGAATAATGTGAATCCTGAGCTTTTTGAATTCCCTATAGCCTTGCTAAAATTCTTCTTTTTCTTCTAAACAGGTTTCCAAAAGAATTCCTATTCCATTCATTAGCAATATTCTTAAAATTAGTAGAAGTTTCTAAGAGAGAAAAGTTATTGGTTTTCTAGGTCCAAGCAACCAAGTCTTTAAAATCAAGGTGTGCCATCCACATAGCTTCCAGTCTAAAAGGTTTATTCAAAATAAAAGGAAGAGACATACCTTTCAATTGGATAAGCAACGAACAATGGTCTGAATAAGTTCTTGGAAGATTCCTCACGCTAGTCTCAAGAAACTGCACCATCCAATCCGAATTAACTAAGGTTTTGTCCAGCCTAACTTTAGTATTTGCAAGGCCTTTCCTTTTATTGTTCCAAGTGAGTTTAGGGCTGCTGCATCTCGGGTCAATGAGGCTGTAGTTGTTAATTCTGTCTTTGAATTTTCTGATTTTGCTTGTATTGTTCACCTATCTTCTTCTTCTTTTTGAACTACTAGAAAAATCGTTAAAATCCCCAGCCACCATTCACAAACTTCTATAGCTATCTCTAGTGCAGCTAAGGTCACCCCACAATTGGTCTCTACAAGTAACATAGGGGCTCCCATAGACAACGAAAAACAACCATTCATCGAAGTCCATTCTAGCAATAATAGCGTGAATAGCCTGCTTAGACGTGCCCTTAGTAGTTATAAAAATGTTAGAGGGATCCCAAAGAAGCCAAATACCCCCAGCTCTTCCCTCGGGTTCTGTAACACCCCG